GGGGGGGGGGGCGGCGGCGGCGGCAGCAGGACCGGCCCCCCGGCCTTAGGTTGCCTACCACTGGGCTAGATGAAGGGAAGAGACCTTCTTCTTCATGGTCTCTGTGAATCACACAAATGGGTTTTGTCTGCGCATGTGCAGCTAGCTAGGAATCTTCTGGAATCACTAGGCAGAAGTTGGATTGCAACTTTTTGACGGTAGCTCCGCCCACCTCTATATAGGCTCTGCGTTCCCGCTTGCTCCTCAGTTCCTTTCATCTGCCGCTTTTGCAGCTTGCAAGGAACCTCGTCACTAGTGCAGTTACTCGTTAATGGCTTTTGACCAAAAATCTCTTCGAATTTCTGGATTGGAACTACTGAATTCTGACCTTGGACTGTTCTAACAACTACGATATTGGATTATCTATGAAAAACTCGACGCCTTTGACTGTTTTTGACCTGGACTGCCCAGACCTCGTGTTTGCCTCATCCTCCAAACTACGACGCCATGGCCTCCTTTAAGCATTGTGTGTCTTGCAACTCCAAGTTGCTGACTTCTGACCAGCACGATGAGTGCATTTTCTGTCTGGGAGAATCCCATAATCCTACCTCTTGCAAAATGTGTAGGAAAATGACGCCACAGGCCTTGAAGAATCGCATGGTGAAACTCAAGGCGGCTCTTTAGGAAAAAGCTCTACAAGCCAACTCCCCAGCTTCTGCTTTGGCTTCCGTGGCCATAAGGAAACCTTCCTCGGACCCCCCTCAGCGGGGCAGATCCAGGGAGAGATCTAAGAGGTCTTCTAAAATCTCGGAGAGCGTGAGTCCTAAGGGCTTGGAGAGGGGTAGAAAAAGGTCCTCCAAATGCAAGCATTTGGAGACTATCGCTGAGGCCCCCTCGTCCTCCAAGAAAGCCCGGTTGTTGTCTCCCCAGCATTCTGCCGACGAGGAACAACGCGAGACCTCTTGGAGCAAGTCATGGTCTGGAGAAACCCGTACGACTCTGATGGTATCACACTCCACACCTCCAGCAGTGGCCCTATCTGTCCCGGGCCTATCAGGCCCATCGGACTCGAAACTGTCCTCCCCGATGGTGTGCTTCGACACCGAATCCAAACAAGGAGCTCAGCCTCGGTTTACCTCTCCTCGTGCAGCTCCACTGCCCACCATTTCTCCATCCTCGGCCCACAGCATCGGGCTCGAGCCCGATCCAGCATCTCTGCCAGCCTCGGTCCAGATGCGACAACAAGGCCCTCCCTATCCAGCTTCGGATTCGTGGCTCTCCAGATTTCCACAACTGGTCTACAGTGAGGCCTCAAACACCTACATGCTTCCTGTTCAACGTGAACACTTGCTTCTCTTGGGAGATCAGAGACGACACTTTCCACCCTATCCTGCAACTCAGCAGCCCCTTTCCATTCCATCCCAAAGAACTTCTTCAAGTCCTGCTATACAGCAGCCCCTTCCGTCCCTGGTACCATCGTCTCATTGTCTTCCACCAGGGCAGCAACCGTCTTCCTCGCGTCGTTTATCTCTGTCTCTGTCTCCCAGTCAATCCGGGCACCACCTTTCATGTGACTCCCGTCATCACAGCACCGATCGTCAGTTCCTTGTTGCCTCTCATATCATCGTTCTCTACTCTCCAAGGGCCATTCCTCTTTGGCCGCTTCTTCTCCAGCTAGAAACCAACGTTCAACTAGAAGCCAACATCGAAGTGGTGAGCTTAAAAATCCATGCCACCCTT